ATGGGGCACTATTCCTGCCACTAATACCAATGATGGGGCACTATTCCTCCCACTGGTGTGCATTGGAAGAGGGGTAGTCTTATACGGCGAGTATAGCCCAAACACTACATTTTAGCAGGAAAAGTAGGGGGGTCGTCTCTTATACGCCCAGTCGTCTTATACGCCGGCAAATACGGTATATATACCACCATTTCTAGATGCTGTAACTTTGGCGCAAACCAATCAATATACGCTTATTTTGGGGGGGGTTTAGCAAAAATATGTAGCAAAATATATTTTGGCCTAAGTTGACATTTTTTTTATTGGACATGTTTTATAGAAAAGTTTATTTTTTTTTATTTATTTTTTTGTTTGTTCTTAAATGTTAGTGTTTTCATTTATAGCACAAAAATAAATGCAGAGGTGATCAAATACCACTAAAAGAAAGCTCTATTCAGTTGCATGACCGCCCAGTCAGGAAGGGGGGTAAATCTTCCGGAGAGCAAGTGTTGTTTTTTTTTTTTTTGTTTTTTTTTTTTTTAATTCTTGCTGTCCTTCCCCACGCTCACCTCCTTGTGTGTGTTGTGCTCAATACTTCTTTTTGTGAACTTGAAATGTTGTTTTCTCTAACGTCTCTGCATGCTGTATATGCACTTTGTATTTTTATATCTGTTTGTATACCTTGCAGACTTTAATAAAAACTTTTACTGGGAAAAAAAAACTGCCAGAGGTGAAAAAAGTTTAGGTTAACAAAATTTTAAAAATAATGGACTTTTCAGTGTTGTGCAAAAGAAGAAGCAATGGGTTAACTCATAGCTCTGCAGTAATGTAAATAAATTAGGCTCATAAAATTTATCAAGTCCTTTAGTTGTCCCAACTTGTTGATAACTTACAAGCTGTCTGTATAAGGCAGAACATTGTTGAACCAGACTGTTAACCATAACCTCTTAAGCAATGTCTGGACAGTATTGTCCTGCAGGAAGTAGTTTATTGCTTTCAAAATGTTGAGTAAAAAGTCATTAACAAAGGCAGACAGACCATTATAACTTTTTTTTAAAAGGGTAGCTCTTTCGATAGAGAAAATTACAAAGAACGCCAAGGTGTCAATGGGTTCAGTTTCCTACACCATCAATAGGCACTTTGGAAATACAGGAGGAGACTGATAGGAGGTCTGGCAGACTCCAAGCCACAACAGAATCAGAAAACAACTTTGAGAGTCCACAGCTTGGGTCAAAGGTGGCTCACAGGACAACCGCTTAAAGCACAGCTTAATATTGGTCCAAATTTCAGTTGTAAAGAGAAGACTTCGAGCTGCTGGTTCGACAGGTTAAGTGGCTGTAAGAGTGTCATTGCAAGAATAGCAATTTAAGAAAAAGATGCTTGCCTTGGCCTTGAAACACTGTCAGTGGACTGCTGAAGACTGGAAGAAGGTCTTATGGAGTGATGAATCAAAATTTGAGATCTTTGGTTCATCATGCAGGGTTTTTAAACTTTGTCAAGTATGAAAGGATAGTTCCTCAGTGTGGGACACCAACTGTCAAACATGAAGGAGATCTGTGGCTTTTTTGCTAGATCCAGAGTTGAACTGCAGAGTAGTAGCACCGTGAACCAGAACTACTACCACAGCATTTTGCAGTGCCATGCAATACTCCGGAATATGGCTAGTTGGTTAGGGGTTTATCCTACAGCAAGATAATGACCCAAAACATACCTCCAGACTGTGTCAGAACTACCTTAGAAGAAAAGGACAAGATGGTAGGCTTCAAATCTTGGTATGGCCAGTACAGTCTCCAGACGTAAACCCATTGAGCTGATTTGGGATGAATTAGACAGATGGGTGAAAGCAAAGCAACCTACTGTACAAGCACAAAACATTGTGTGAGAACTTCGGCAACAGTGTTGGGAAAAACTTTCCGAATGATATTTGATTTCTGTTGAAAGAAAACTACTAGTGTGTTTAGAGTTATATCTGCAAAGGGTAATTACTTTGAGTCAAACTTTGATTACCTTCGATTTGTTTGTTCTATGCCTTTTTAGAGTACATTGAGACATTGTGATGCATATATTTCAATATAAAATTGAAAAATGGGGGTGTTTTAAAACTTTTGCCAAGTAATGTATGAGTGCAAGGATAACATGTGACCCGGTGTGCACAGTGTTAGAGTGAACATGGGTTTATTATGCTGAATATCGGCCGTGATTCCAAAGGTTCTGTGCCTGCTCCCATTATACATTGCACACACTTGCTGCATTTCTTGTACCCACAAAATATTCCTAAATTACTGTGCCAAATGGGACACCTTATCCTAAGGACAATCGACTATTCTTAAAGTCTCATAAACAGATAAGTGTGTGTGTGTCTGTGAGGAGAAAAAACTCTCTCGCTCTCTCTCGCTCTCTCTCTCGCTCTCATCTCGCTCTCTCTCGCTCTCTCTCGCTCTCTCTCTCGCTCTCTCTCTCTCATCTCGCTCTCTCTCTCTCTCTCGCTCTCTCTCTCTCTCTCTCGCTCTCTCTCGCTCTCTCTGGAGCTCTCTCTCTCGCTCTCTCTCGCTCTCTCTCGCTCTCTCTCGCTCTCGCCCTCTCTCTCTCGCCCTCTCTCTCCCTCTCTCTCTCGCCCTCTCTCTCTCGCCCTCTCTCTCTCGCCCTCTCTCTCTCGCCCTCTCTCTCTCGCCCTCTCTCTCTCGCCCTCTCTCTCTCGCCCTCTCTCTCTCATCGCCCTCTCTCTCTCCCCTCTCTCCCTCGCCTCGCTCCTCTCTCGCCCTCTCTCTCTCGCCCTCTCTCTCTCGCCCTCTCTCTCTCGCCCTCTCTCTCCCCCCCTCTCCTCGCTCGCCCTCTCTCGCTCGCCCTCTCTCGCCCCCCTCCCCCCTCTCTCCTCCCGCCCCTCTCGCTCGCCCTCCCCTCTCGCTCGCCCTCCCTTCTCGCTCGCCCTCTCTCGCTCGCCCCTCTCTCGCTCCCCTCTCGCTCGCCCTCTCCTCGCCCGCCCCCCTCTCTCGCTCTCCCCTCTCTCTCCCCCCCTCGCTCTCTCCTCCCCCTCTCTCTCTCCCCTCCTCTCGCCCTCTCTCGCTCTCTCGCTCTCCTCGCCCTCTCCCCTCTCTCTCGCTCTCCTCCCTCCCCTCCTCTCTCCCTCCCTCTCCCCTCCCCTCCCTCCCTCTCTCCCTCCCTCTCTCCCTCCCCCCCTCTCCTCCCTCCCCTCCCTCTCTCCCTCTCCCCCTCTCCTCCCTCCCCTCCCCCTCTCTCCCTCCCCTCTCTCCCTCCCCTCTCTCTCCCCCCCTCCCCCCCCTCTCTCTCCCCCCCTCTCTCCCCCCCCTCTCTCCCTCCCTCCCCCCCCCCCCCCCTCTCTCCCCCCCTCTCCCCCCCCCCCTCTCCCCCCTCTCCCTCCCCCCCCTCTCCCCTCCCCCCCTCTCTCTCCCCCCCCTCTCTCCCCCTCTCTCTCTCTCCCCCTCTCCCCCTCTCTCTCTCTCCCCCCTCTCCCCCCTCTCCCTCCCCCCTCTCCTCCCTCCCCCCCTCTCCCTCTCCCCCCCCCCCCACTCTCTCCCCCCCTCCACTCTCTCTCTCTCCTCCCCCCTCCCCCCCTCTCTCTCTCTCCCCCCCCCCCCTCTCTCTCTCTCCCCCCCCCCCCCCTCTCTCTCTCCCCCCCCCCCCCCTCTCTCTCCCCCCCCCCCTCTCTCTCTCATTTTTAAAGAGAACTTGAGTGAGGAGGCAAAACAAACTTCTTCTGAGGTTCATATTTAACTGTAGTTCATAACAGAATGGCACAATCTTAAAACAAAAACATGGCAATAAGTATTATTATACAGGATTTATATAGCGCCAACAGTTTGCTCAGCGCTTTAAGTAGACAAATGATATGACCCCTGTTCAAAAGTCTGCATACCCTTAGTTCCTAATACTGTGTATTGCCCCCTTTAGCGTCAGTGACTTCTGTAATAGTTGTCTGCAGGTGGTATAGCTGCCCATTTTTTTTTTTTTTTTTTTTGGCAAAATGCCACTAGGTCATGCAAAGTCTTCGGTCATCTTGCATGAACCGCACGTTTAAGTTTTCTGCTCTTCAAGGCTCAGTATCTAGCCTGCTTAGTGCTTCTAAGTGAAAGCTAAAAAAAAACATTGACTATTTATACACACACTAATTACAATTTAAATTCAAAAAGTCTAAGATGCGGGAAATGAACCTCTTCTTCTTTTTTTTTTTTTTTTTTTTTTTTTTTTTTTTTTTTTGTGTAATTTCTTTATATGGCCAAGAATGCAATATATACAGGACTATAAAAAAAACAAGTGGCCCTTAATAAACCAGAGTAAGGGTATGCAAAAGTAAACTTAATAGGGATGCACCAAAATTTCGACCACCGAAACATATCGGCTAAAAATAGCGATAGGAAAAATTAAGCTGATACAGGAGACTGCGTACTGCAGATGTGTGGGGGGTGGCTGAGAGAGGCAGAAGAGGAGCAGTGTATACAGTGACTGCCTGTCACTTTGTCAGTGCCGGTTTTTATGTAATTGCTGGCTTTTTTTTTTTTCTTCACTATAGCTCAATTAGCGGTCACTTTTCCCCCCAGTTAAAATAAACTTTCTTTTTAGTTTATTTCCAGAGATAAAAGAATCCGTTTCCTTTAGCTCCGGGAAAGTGACAGCTAATTCTGTGAGCTATAGTGAAGAAAAAGTCATCAATTTAAAAACTACTGAGTACCATTTTGAGTTGCTGCAATAACATTTCAGCGAAATGGACTAGCCTGCTGCATCATTTTTTCACTTTGATTTTCGGGGTGTCTTTGAATTCAGTCCTCCTGTAGGTTGATAATTTTCATTTCCATCAAAGGATTGGGCATCCTTACATTCCTAACACATTACTCAGTCCATATCAGTATAGATATCCAGAATGATATTTTTCCCCCATTGAGATCTGACGTATTTTCATAGTGTTCCTTTAATTTTTGGAGCAATGTGTGCGTGTAATAAATATCTCTCTCTCTCTCTCTCGACTGATGCAATTTTTTTTTTTCCCCCTTCTAGGTACAATAGAAATGAAGGTACATATGCATACAAAATTCTGTTTTATTTGTTTATTTACTTTTATTTTTCATCACTGCAACCATTGCCACGGTTATGTACACGATCACAGAATTGCATCAGATGAAAACCACATTCATAGTCACAATGACTATCAGATCTCACAAGAGCCTTATCTTCAGAATGGGGATGCAGAACTGTTAACAAGCCAGTCCTTGTCACCAGAGGCTGAACATGAGCAGAAATACTATATAGAAAAACTGTTCCATCGCTATGGGGAGAATGGAAGGCTTTCATATTCTGGACTAGAAAAACTTTTAAACAGCTTGGGCCTTGGTGAGGTAAAAGTAGTTGAGATTGGTCATGAAGATGTTGGTCATGACCCAGTTTCACATTTGGATGCTTTAGATGTTCAAGAAGGAAAGCATTTTCACACACACGATCATTATTCCCACTCAAATGTAGAAAATGAAACCAAAAATGCTGTATCCTCCAACGATTGTAAAGAGAAAAAGGCATCATTGCCAGTCGAACATAAATTATCCCATAGTCCTCACTTCCATAATCACACTCATAAAGGTACAAACCATTCTCATAACCATATCCACCTCGATCATAGTGATACAGAGAATCAACTGGACCATGGAGGACAAATTAATGAGCCAGTAAATGGTACGGATATAACACGAGAACAGCCTGAGAAAAAACCTCACAGGCACAAGAAGAAGAGGAAGGGGACTAAATCCAGTGAACCTACTACAGACTCTGCTTTTGTTTCTGAACAAGATGAATACAACCATGTTTACAAAGTGGACCAGAATTCAGATGTAGGTCACCTTCGTGACAGTGAGAATACTCAGAATTTTGAATCAGAAGAACATAGACAGATGCTGGATGATAGACATAGAAACACTCGTAAAAGAGAAGCCCCAGACGACCATATTGGTATGAAAAAACATGTATTCTCACTGAACCATAAGCAGCACAGTGAAGAAATGCATGATGAGGTAAGAGATAACCTAGACTTTTTATTGCATAGCTTAATTCAAGAGCAAACATGTTGTGTTGCAGCTTACCAGTCCTTAGATGTGGTGGCTGTGTTAGTGTTTTTATTTTTTTGTTGTTTTGGGGTTTTTTTTTTTTTTTTTTTTTTTTTTTTCAGGTTTTTCCTTTTTGTCACCTGGTGTTCTTGCCAGTAACACACATTTTGTCCTAGGTAGCAATGCTCACTAAATGTACAATATCACTCAAGGACTGTACTCGGGGGTGTATAAATGTAAAAAACAAACTACTTGTCCAAGGAACGAAGTCAGGGTCCCAATCTACTTGTCCCTCATGACAAACTACTTGTCCTGATAAATAAAAAAAAACATTTTACATTTCGGGGAGAGAAAAAAAAAATGAAGGGTTCATGTTTCTTCTTAGGCAGAAGTGCTTTTAGGAATAACTGGGGCTTTTAAAAACTAAAAGGGGTATTGTGGTGACTTAAACTTTTTTAATCTTTTTTTTAGTTTTTGCTGAAAATGTCCTAGAACCCCCAAATATTATATATTTTTTTTTTTTTTTAAACATCCCTTGTGACAGCAATAGGCAGTAAAAGGTACTCCTTATGGAGAGATCTGGAGTCAGTAAGACCCCAGATCCCTCCTCTGCCCTCTAAAAGCATTTGATCACACCAAAATCGGCTGATCAGATGCTTTCCATTTTTTAAAAATGGTGCTGAGGAAACTGGTGGCGATGTATGCTCATTGCTTCCTGTTTCCTATATCATAGAGGTGGACAGAGTGGATTTGGTTCTGAGCAGGCTGGTTGATTGTACATGACAGCCCGCCAGGGATTTTTTTTCTTAGAATATGTGCAGGAACTCAACCACTCCCTCACCTCACCACTTCCTAACAGTGGGAGGGTCCTAATGGAGCATTGTTAAATACCAATAGTGCATACTGCACAGGGCAGAGTTCAGGAGTGTGCTGCCTACAGGGTGCAAGGTTCAGGAGTACACTGCATACAGAGTGATGAGCTCAGGAGTGAGTTGTGTACAAAGTGCAGGGCTCAGAAATGCATATATCACAGGCCAGTTTACAACCCGCCTTCTAGTACAGAGCTCTCCTCCCACCCCCAAATCCTCTGTCCCCCACCTACAGAGTATCAGAGAGGGGCTGGTGCAGAAGAGCAGCTACAACTTACAGTAGGAGTGCAATGTTAAGTGGGGAGAGGGACATTAATGCTAAGGGGTGATATGGGGATGAAATTGGTGCCATAGTAATGAGGCATTGGTGCTAAATGGGGGGAGGTGGCAATGTGGTACTTTCTAATGTGGGGGAGAGGGGCGACTTTGAGGATTAGTGGAGGGAGAGGAGGACCATTGGGGGTATGTGTGGGAAGAGGAGGAGGCATTGGGGATAAGTAGGGGAAGTGGGGGACTTTGGGGATAAGTGGGGGAAGGGGGGTGGGCATTAGGGATAAATGGGCGAAGAGGGAAGGGGGCATTGGGGATTAGTGGAGGGAGAGGAGGAACATTGGGGTTAAGTGGGGGGGGGGGCATTGAGGATAAGTAGGGGCAGAGGAAGAAGACTGGAGATAAGTGAGGGTGAAGGGGACATTTGGGATAAGTGTGTGTGGGGGGAGGCATTGGGGATTTGTGGAGTGGGGGGTGAGTGTAGTGTGACTGTATGGCAGATGCTGAGTGTCACACACGACGGTGCACTTGGTCTGAAAGATTCCTGGAGATGTCCATTACAGGTGGGGTACAGCAGAGAGGAGCAGAGCTCTGAGCAGTATGTTGCAGGGACTGGAGGCGGCTCAGTGTCCCGGGACTGACAGCCAATAGGAATAAGTCAGAAAAGTATGTATGCACTTCTTGTGGAAAGAGGAGCAAAACTCACTGTGTTGGCTTTTCATTGCAGAGAATTATTAGTGCGGGGCCAGGACAGGCTATAACACGATACGTTAGGGTATAAAAAGGGATGCTTGCTAGGGGGTAGGAGTCCGTGTACTTACTCAGAACGGCAACCGCACTGAAGAAAAACACCACTCCTCCACCCTCTCCTCTGCTGTCATGTGCCGAGCAGTGAGAGTTTTGTGCTGCTGGAGTAGAAGCCAGGCTTCTTTCTTCAACTTCTGCCGGAGTAGCCCCAGGGGTGTGGAAATTTTTTCAAAAACTACTTGTCCAGGGACTAAATTGGGGCCCCAATATGCTTGTCCCTCATGATAATCTACTTGTCCAGATAAAAAAAGAAAAAAAAAAATGTAACCAAAACCGGATTTAAATCTGAGGTGCTGGTAGTAATGTCTGGGGGTTTTAAAAACGAGGCTTTATGGCGACTTAAACATGTAATGTTTTTAACTTTGCTCTGTTTATCTCCTCCTAGCAGGGAGGGGGGAGACCTTGCAGTGTGATGAACAACGATTGGCTGCTCGTTAGGAAAGGGTGGGTCAGGGCTTATACTCTATCCCTTTTGCTGCGGGAGCCGGTTTTTGCGTTTCTTGCACACGTTTAAAAAAAAAAAAAAAGTATTTTAGACCTGAAGATTACATAAAACCCCCTAACATGATATATTTTCTGAAAGCAGAGACTCTAGAGAATAAAATAGTGGTAGTTCTAATTTTTTATGTCGCTTGATATTATCACAAAATTTCAGTAAATAATACAAGTAAGTTTAATTTTAGGGCACAAAAAAGCAATAAATTACCTTATTTTTTTTGTAAAATATACAAGATGAGGTTGCAGCGAGTAAATAGATATCCAACTTGTCAAACCTTAAATTTGTGCACGTTCGTGAAATGGCGACGAACGCCAGTACCCTATATTTTCTATAGGTTGACACTTTTAAAGCTTCTTTTAGGTCACCGGTTTAGTGTTATGGAGGAGGTCTGGTGCTAGAATTATTTCTCTCATTCTGGCGTGCGTGGCGATATGTAACTTGTATCGCAATCAACGGTTTCATGCGTAGGCGCCCCACCATTTGCTTTTACGTTTGTATGTACGTATAGGGTGATGGCCTCAATATTTTTTTGGGGGGGTGAATGGTATGTGCTTGGGTGTAACTTTTCATCTGTTACAAAGTCCCCTATGTGATGATTTTTGGTGACAAGTTCTCTTTTGAGACATCCAAGGTCTAAAAGACCCTGCATGTCTCCCCTCTGCTCCACTGAATGTAATGTGGTGCATTTAAGGAGGGGGAAGCCCCCCCACCCCAAAGCCTCACACCCCCCCCATGTTGGGGGCATGTGGCCTGGTATGGTTCAGGAGGGGGGGGTGCGCTCGCTTGTTCCCCCCCTTTCCTGACCTGCCTGTCTGCATGCTCAAATAAGGGTCTGATATGTATTTTGGTGGGGACCCCCACGCTTTTTTTTTTTTTTTTTTTTAATTGGGGTGTGGGAGTTCCCCTCAAAATCCATACCAGACCCAAAGGGCTTGGTATGGATGGGAGGGTGGACCCCACGACGTTTTTAAATTGCCAGCAACCATTTCTTTTACATTCAGCTGTCAGTGGAAACCCCGCTGACAGCTGAAACATTAACACATGGTTGTCGCTACTAAAATACCGCATGACTTGATAAAATAACTCATGCGGTATTTTAGTACATAGTTACATAGTCTAGCTGAAAAGAGACAAAAATCCATCCAGTTAAACCATTAAAAAAAAAAAAAAAGTTATAATCCTATACCCACAGTTGATCCAGAGGAAGGCAAAAAAACCCAGCAAAGCATGATCCAGTTTGCTCCTACTGGGAAAAAAATTCCTTCCTGATCCCCTGAGAGGCACTCGGATATTCCCTGGATCAACTTTACCTATAAATGTTAGTATCCAGTTATATTCTGTGTATCTAAGAAATAATCCAGGCCTTTATTGAAGCAATCCACTGAGCTGGCCAAAACCAACTCTTGAAGGAGTCTGTTCAACATTTTCACAGCTCTCACTGTGAAGAAACCTTTCTTCAGACGTAAAGAGTGCCCCTTGTCCTCTGTGATGACCTCAGGGTGAATAGCTCTACACCAAGTTCACTATATGAACCACTGATATATTTATACATGTTGATCATATCCCCCCTTGATCTCTTCTTAAGAGAGAATAAATTCAGTTCCTCTAATTTTTCCTCATAGCTGATCTCCTCCACGCCTCGTATTAGTTTTGTTGCCCTTCTCTGTACTTTCTCCAGTTCCCCAATGTTCTTTTGTGTGAATTGGTAGCGTTTACTTTTTTCTGACCTCTGGAACGAATTAATTGGTTTTCAATGCATTCCTATGGGAAATGGTGTTTTGGTTTGCGAATTTTTCGCTATACGAAAAGTCCCGCAGAACGAATTAAATTTGTAAACCAAGGTATGCCTGTACTAAAAAATAGATTTAAGGTTTACATATACTTAATTAAAAGAAAACTCTTCTATGAGAGAAATATGAAGGCTGTCTTTGCTGATCTCCTGTAATTGCTTGTTAAAGGCTAATCCTGTGATTTCATTAATTTGAATCACTGACCCAGTAAAAGTATGAAGAGAAAAAGCTTGGACTTAACTAGCTTGCTTGTCCTGAGTCAGTGGCTGAACATAGTAAAGGCAAGCAAGGCTAGTATATTTTCCTTAATTTTGATCTCTGAAATTTGCTCCGCAAACAAAAGTGTGCTTAATCATTAACTGTAATGAACACCTTACCCTTACACACTTTAACTAGACCCTAACATTCCATTTTGAATTCCTTCTGTAGCATACGTACAGTCAGGTCCATAAATATTGGGACATCAACACAATTCTAACATTTTTGGCTCTATACACCACCACAATGGATTTGAAATGAAACGAACAAGATGTGCTTTAACTGCAGACTGTCGACTTTAATTTGAGGGTATTTAGATCCAAATCAGGTGAACGGTGTAGGAATTACAACAGTTTGCATATGTGCCTCCCACTTGTTAAGGGACCAAAAGTAATGGGACAATTGCCTTCTCAGCTGTTCCATGGCCAGGTGTGTGTTATTCCCTCATTACCCCAATTACAACGAGCAGATTCA